TGTGGAAGGTTGGCTGAGATATGATTTTTTTAAAATGACCTTTAATTTGCTCAGCAGGAAAAGTAATTTGCATAACTAGAGCTGAACGGTAATTTCGCAAAAGTGGCACCTGACCCAGACTCAAGTCTATGATAAATCAGAAGTACTAAGACCAGTCTACTTCTTAATGCAATAAAATTTGTGGGCACTCTTCTCTGCGCGCTGTACAAAGTTCCGTTAATGTTACAAAATTCGCCATTTTGACAGCAAAGCTGGAATTGTAACGGTCCCCATTTGATCGACTAATTTCCACAGTTTTAACGTTTCTAGTTATCACCGAATGTCATTAGACCCTTTAAATGTTGGACTTTTGAAAACATGAGGAGAAAACTTGGTAATCGCTTTTTCTTGATTTTTTTTTTTCCTTGTCGACGATCAGAACGCGATTTCATTCTCCGTATGCAAATTAGCCTTAGATGCGTCGTTTCAACAAATTGACAGGAAACATAACTGCTTATATTTCACATTTTTAAGGGAAAAATATCTCTTCTTTCCACGGAAAAACACGAACGATATATGACTTAGAATCCCCTTAGGTCTGTTTCTTTTACGAGGACGAAGCAGTAGAAGAAGACATGTTTACGCGAATTAAAATAATCTAATTACTGTGGCCCGTCACGCATTCCCCGAGAGTGGCCGTGTATCGATCAGTTCTTTTATCTGATTATATTTTTTTTGAAGTGATAGTTATTGATAATCATACAATTTAATCACTGTTAATTCCGATTCTTTACTGGGTGGGAAATACCGTGCTGTTGTATTTATTCATTCTACGACCGTTTTAACTGAGTCAGTATCCCCGGGCGCCACCGTGAGGATGGGGTTTAATATGACAGCCCATGGTGTAATACACGACAATTAGCTACAAAGTAGTCACTTGGACACGGCCACTCTCATTCACGAGCACTAGCACAATATTTTCAATTACAGAATTAACTATTAATATTTTGGAAATAGCTCGCAAACAACTTCAGAAATACCGTGCGACACCACAGGACCACGCCTGCAAAGTCCTTATAGCAGCATACAGATTTCCTAAATCCCTAGCTAACTATAGGCTACCCTACAAACCTTAGGGTGGTATTAACAGAGCATTGTGTTTATCGCCAATTAACAACATTTCAGTAAAAATGAGGAATGGCATGCAGAAAATTGACTGTCCGTCTCCTGTTAAATCTCAAAAGTTTTTGCCGGCTGTTAATCACACTAAATTAAGGATCCCTATGTTCACTCCTGAGCTGATGGAGAAAAGCACTTGCAATCTTGTATGAAAGACGAAAGTTTGTCAATTAGGTCTCCCTTTCTTTCCCTGGATTTGAATGGTATTTTAAAGTGACACAAGATTTTTTTAGCATTACCACGTTGAACTGACTAGGTTGTTCTTCCTTTGACATACACATAGGTTGAAAGCTTCTGGTTGAGGGTCTTGTGGTCTCAATTCTTCAGTGATTTCGGCAATAAGCTTTTGCCTTTCGAACTCCTCGTCTTCTTGCAACAGATCTCTATGGTCAAGTTCAACTTGTATACACCTAGGACTATGTTTACGTGTTGACTCAAACGGGCCTAGAGTCCAACATGGGCTGGCAATAGGTGAGCACGGAATTGGAACAGGGGTGGGGGGAACTCCCTATGATGGCTTATACGGGGAGGTTCCGCCCCAAAGGAGTATCTTTTTCAGGATTCAGGTATAAGAAAGGTGGGCATTTCACTAGATGAAGTATATGAAAGGGCGAGTGCGCTTATTGCAGCCTTAGCAGCATCTTTGGCGGTTCTTAAAGAAAAATGAACTAAGTTTAAGAATTTAAGGAAAAAGTAGAAGGACTTAATTTTTCAGAAATTAATATACACGGGAGAAATTTCACCCCCTTAAGTACAAATGCTTGTAAAAGTAGAGGTGGAACAGTGGGGAGAGAGGGTGGATGGTAAGGTAGGTTAAAAATGGAGAGATGAGATGGAGCACATTGGTCAAGAGGGTATAAATACAAAAAAAAAACAAAAAAAAAAAAAAAAAAAACAGCAATCTGGAGGCATTTTTGAAGACTTAATGAAAACGATATCAAAACAAAAAAACAGAGAAATCTTGTCCAATAATCCTCTCCGGCAAATGTATGGACATGGTTGCTGACTGTTCAATCGTACTCTTCTCGACCCTTCGGCGTCAAGATTTTTCAAGTTTCTTGCGACAGGAGGAGCAAATCGGCTATACGACACGTCGACCACAATCACGCCTAGCCTCGTCCCCAGGACATTCTTCTTAGAAAATGGCATGGGCGGGAAAGCCATGGGGACGAGGTTGGATCCTGACTCCGTGTAGAAAGTTCTTTTTTTTCCATTTATAATGCTCTTCAAACAATCATCAGAAAACTATCTTTTACAACACACGGATTAACCGGTATGTATAGCATTTTAAAGGTAAGAATTGATTAGGGCAAGATACACTGCTGTCAAAAAAATAGAAATAAAAACTATCTTTGCAAGCTCAAATAAACTGGAAACGAACTTCAGAAAACATCGCAAGATGAAATGTGAAATAGAGAAATTAGAATATCTCTGTACGTCAAGAGACTTTTTTGCACGACGAAGAAAAAAGAATGATACTTACGCGATGGAACAAAACTTTGACTTATTTCGCTGGCTATCTGCAAATTTACGACACGTCTTCCTGCCACAGAAGTTATTTTGCCAGTATGATCCAGAGTGTGACCGGGTTATTGACAAGACCTTAGGCTCGATTTCCGCCGTCTCCCCGTCCGTTGGGGGCTCATTTTCCAGAACAGCGGCTTACAATCGAGCCTAACAAGACCTTGGCGCTCGCAAAAACCTGCCAAGTAGGTGTTCGGTGCCTTGGGCAGATTGTCATTTCAGTTCCGAATACCCACCAAGCCTCGAATACGTACTCTCGCTAAAATGAGCTCATTTTCATTGTCTTTGCTACACTTGCTACACTTAGACAAGTGACAGCTGGCTAAGTGCGACGTAATATGTGTTGGTCACAGAGTGCATAAATGATATTCCTCCACACCCCTACTGGGACCTCACTCTGTCTACGATCTCGCGGAAGAACTGCTTGATGAAATGGCCGAAAAAGCCATTTTTCACAATTGATCTCTTTCGCGATTTCATTGACATAATTATATTTGAAACTGGAACCTGTTGCATTATAATTCAATCACATTGAAACCAAAACAAGATCATCGTTGGAATTCGGATGTTATACCCTAACAAAAACTAAAAAGATACTCCCTTTTGCGTTTATTCACTGAAAAAAGGAACTATTTTTCCCGTTTCATTCTGCTGCCGATAAACGCTTTAAAGATCTTTGAACGAAACTGAAATTTACTGCTAATTTAAGATAGAAAACGTGTGGGGCATTTTTTTTATCTTAGTGCCATGTACAAAGATCTGCCTTCTCCTGATAAGCAAATATCATAATAAAGCTTTCGACGTTAACGCTATTTTTTAAGGCACGCAAAAAAGAGTGCCCAAAAATTTTCGTGTGCTGACAAGAGGACTTACCTTGCAAGTGAACTCTTATTTTTTATTATTATCAATAACTATCATTTAAAAAAAGATGATAATATTATAGAATTGATGGACACAACGCTATTGTTTTCTAATCGACCACCCCTCTTTAGGAATGCGTGACAGACCACAGTAATTGAATTATTTTAAGCCACGCAAACATATATCATGATATATTATTCAGCTGCTTCTTCCTCGTTAAAAAAAAAGCAGACCTTAAGGGGATTCTAAGTCATGGTTTGTGTTTTTCTGTGGAAAGGAGAATTATTTTTCCCCTTAGAAATGTGAAATGCAAGGATTATATTTCCTGTCAATTTGTTGAAACAACGCATCTAAGGCTAATTTGCATACGGAGAATGAAGTCACGTTCATCTTCGACAAGAAAAAGACCCAAGGAAAAGCGATTACTAAGTTTTCTCCACATGTTTTCAAAAGTCCAACATTTAAAGGGTCTAATGACATTTAGTGATATCTAGAAACGTTAAAGCTGTGGAAATTAGTCGATCAGATGCGGACCCGTTACAATTCCAGCTTTGCTATCAAAATGGCGAATTTTGGAACATTAACGGAACTTTGCACGGCACGCAAAGAAGAGTGCCCACCAATTTTATTGCATTAAGAAGTAGACTGGTCTTAGTACTTCTGATTTATCATAGACTTGAGTCTGGGTCAGGTGCCACTTTTGCGAAATTACCGTTCAGCTCTAGTTATGCAAATTATTTTTCCTGCTGAGCAAGTTAAAGGTCATTTTAAAAAAATCATATCCCAGCCAACTTTCCACAGAATGCAACCATTAAACCTTGAAACTATTGATCAGAGTTAAAACTTTTGTGTGTAAAATAATCAGCTTATTCGGCCATGTAAGGTAGGTTTGACAGAGCCCTAAAGTTTCTAGCCTGCGTAGCATGGCGGTTTTGTCGATCCGGGCGCAGGAGCGGCGTAGCCGCGAAATTCGCGCGCGAAGCGCGCGAGAACGGGCGGCGAAGCCGCGAGAAAAATAAAAACCGCCTGCCCGGATTCGTGGCCTTTTCAACTGCCGCCCCCTTCAACTCATTTTGACATTCTGTTGACAACTTATTTGGTTTCAGTTTTCCCAGCCAATCAGAAATAAAGTGTTGACAGCCTAAACACGACACAAAAGCTCGTGATATAGTGTAAAACGTGACCTTGGCGGATTTTTTCTTTGTGGCTATCTCGCGCATAGGTGACTACACTGCGTTCTAAACTTGACTGAGTAGATCTTATTTTTGCTGCACTAAGTCCTACATTTATTTAGAGGTCATGGAGTTGGTTTGTTTAATCCGTATTGAGTAATTATTTCCTGTGGTTAATGTTATTTTCGCTAATTAGAATTTGTTGATCTCAGATGCAGTTGTAAAGTACTAATTTCTTTGACCACTCTTAAAGCCTAAAGCTTTTTATTACGGCAGATAAATATTTTAGTTTCTTTGGTCTTTTCCGACTAAAATGCCTGGATCCGGACAACTACAAACCAAGGAGCCTTGGTTTGTAGTTTCTGTCACTGCTTTGTCCGTGAATGTTTGGACGCTGGGCCCGGCATTGTAAGTGTTGTTTGCAGGATGTTGTATTTTTACGTATAGCGCGATCTTCAGATTTGAGTTGTAGCTTAAGCTACACCAAGCAAAAAAATATGGAGAATTACGCTGTGCGTCTTTTTCTGTCATAAGGTCCATTGCTTTACAGCACAGCGACAACATTTCAGATATCTGGTCGTCGATAGTACGTTTTAGAGGGGAAATTGTGATCATACAGGTTTTCGATGAGGATATTTCTTCTTTGGCCATAGCAAAGACAGTAAAGATCATGCTCTTGCCAAATCTTGTTGACAAAATTTCCATGACATCTCTCCTTTGAAGAAGACTGCAAATGACCATTTCCTGTTTAGGCTTCAATACAATTGCCCTGTTTCCCCGTCAAATATTCAAGACCGAGGACGCTCCGGTCAACGCTTCTTTGATATTTTGATTTTGTTTTGCGGAGATGATTTGTTCAGTCCCTCAAAACTCTCCCATGGGAGATTACCAAAATATTTGATTGACAGGCGAACATTCCGAACCAATCGGAACGATCCGTACGCTGGCGTGCGGACCGGCTCAAAAAAGCCCCCCGTCCGTGCAGGCGGTTTTTCAAGTTGCTTCCGCCCCAATCTCCTCGCGGTTTGTCTGCCCTCGCCCGCCTTTATTACTTAGCGCGCCCAACCAAAACCGCCATGCTACGCAGGCTATAAAGTTTCAGCAATATCGCACCACTTCCGACGGCAAACTGGCTAGTTTTAGGTGACCGAGAAAATCTTCCTGTAAAATAGAGAAAAAATTGAGTTGGTCCAAATAAATGTGATATTTCTTCATGTGATAGGATAGTTATCTTCCACTGAAAAAATCAGGGCAATCCGTGATAGACCGAAATTTGCCTTATCGGTTCTTACGCGGACAGCCTCTTAAACTGTTCCCTTGCTTGCCGCGAAAGTTTGTTCCTGTTACATGTTACCTGTCAAAGTCCTATTGTTAGAGAAAATTGATCCCTCTCTGATATCAATCAGAATAAACATTTAGGTGTTATAATCTCATTCCAGGTAGGATGCCGCCAAAAATGTATTTTCTATTTTATCTCCGAACGCAAATTTTGCCGATCGACTCGTACGTTTTGAACTCCAAGTCGGCAGCCTTTCAATCAATTTGGCTAAAATTTGGCCAGAGTGATGCCATATATCTCTTCTACAAAACCGTGTCTGCGAATTTTAATACTCCTTTTCATTTTAAAGCTAGAGCTTTTTTTCCACGGGGAGTGTTGACTAATTGCCTTTCCCAACTTCATTTGCTAATAAAAGAAAAACAAACGCACTTGTCAAAAATCTGAGACAACGTTCCAATTTCGAAACACATTTAAGTAAATAGTTTTTGTTAGTTCAAATCCATAATCTGGAATTATTAAGCTTTTAAAAAATATATGGTTTATAGGGGTTTTTATAAAAACAACTAACGCTACAGCGGTCCGCGCGCGGACGGTCCTGAAGGGTGGCTGATACCTTAAAATATCTGCTTATTAAGCATCAAAATAGTCAGAAGCAAAATCATAATGGATCGAAATGCACCAATGACAATCCCTGAACGTGACCTCTTGAACTTTATTGGTTTCCTATGAGGTTCGCCAGTGTAAAATATACTACTGTACTAGATTAAAACTTAGGTTTTTGCGCGTTTATATTGGAAGTCTTACAATGTCTTCGCAAGAGCCGCCGAAAAAGAAATCCAAACAAGTCGAAAATAAGCAGGGAACACTTTTATTGTGGGTAAAACCATGCAATAGTGACGCAGAGCCTGGTGTAGTCGAAGAAACAATCCAAATCAAAGAACAACCCGGAAATGAAAATGATTTGGAGCCACCGACAACAATAGCTGGCAAACAGGAAACGACAAAGAGGCAACTCAGCCCCCCAGGTCAAGTCTTTGTTAACGTATCAGATAGTCCATTTGCGCTCAACAACGGGAGACTCTAGACTGAACCACCTCTCGATGTTATATGTTCACAAGGACAGAACAGATGCTCTGACCCTTGTAGACGTAGCTAATGACTTCGTTGGGAAGAAAGAAAACCGAAAGCAATTGTTGGGCAAATTTTATTAATAATAATAATATAGATTCTTATACAGCGCATTTCTATCCTCAATGCACTTTACATTATGAAAGCCGATTAAAAATCATTACATTTCTAGCCCATGTGACATTATACATCAAGTATTGTAAAAAAATTGTAAAACTTTAAAAATCCTAGAATGTTAAGCATGAAAATCAATTGTGATATTGTACATCAAGATTGGAAAACTTTAAAAAACCCTAAAATGCTATGTTTATAAAAACTTATAAAACTTATAAAAAAAAAAAAGCGAAAGATATCCCAAACAACTTCTTTATTTCGTCAGTCAACACAAACGGAAAACAAAATGTATTGTAGACAAATGTAGTAATCTGACATGTACCAAGAAGTATGCTTTAACCAAGGGACCGAAGCGGGGGGGGGGTTAATGTGGGCCACTCGCTCAGCCCCCAGTCATTTTATGCTTGCTACGGGCCTGAAATCGACACCCTGTTTAAGACAAAAATCCCGAAAAACATACACTGGCTGGCCGCACGTCCCCATTAAGCCCTTATAAGGGAGTACCCCCAGGGGCTGTACAGAATCTTTTCAGTTATGTGTGTGTTTTGTGAGTTCGATGTCCGAACTGATATGGCCACTACAAAATCTGCGAACGGTCATGGTTCAAGATGATTTAGGTTTGCAGACTTGGAGAGTTAATATTTTTCCTTGGTATACTTTTCACAAGGAATCAGTATTAATTAGAGTTAACTCAGAATATGGAAATACAGTCGAACCTGTCTATAACGGCCACCCTCGGGACTTGAGGAACTGGCCGCTTATTTTCAGCTTGATTTACACACACTGTAAAAACTGACCAGTTATAGTGACCTCAAAAAAATGGTTAAGGTTTGAATCCCAGGTAACCAACCGTATTTTATTAGGTTACAGTAACCAAAAAAAAATAGTTCAGGTTAACCATTTTTTATTCCCGTTGAAATAACTTTTCTTTATGGGTTACATTAACACTTAAAGATGGTTGTTTGTACCACAGCCCACGCCACTTCTTATGACTTGTTTGTCATAACCTCTACTTTTTAGTTAAACTAACTTTAAATTTTTAGTTGTTATAACCGAAATAAAAAGATAAATATGTTTCAACTCATACAGATAAGTTATAATAACCATTTTTTGTGGTCATGGTAAACCAGTTTTTTGGGTACTAATGATGAATCTGTGGTAACCCATTTAAAATAGTCAAGAGGTGGTAGCTTTAACCATTCCATTTGGGTTAGAAGAAAACGGTTGTTTTAACTGATAATAATGAATTACATTAACCTCACAATAATAGTCTTCAGCAACATTTTTAATGGTTATGTTAACCGTTCTCTACAAACAACAACAACAACAACATAGTTGACCAGGAACTTCATAAAAAAGATAATCATACAACATTGCAAGTAAAAAATGCTTATGTTTCTTAATTCAAGTATTTAAAGCAGAACAAGGAATGATTAAACAATCAACCCTGCTTCCTAAACTATAGCAAATTTAAATTGGAATACTGCATGTCTCTCACAATACTGCAAAACAAGACTTCGTACACTGGCATATGATTGTAAAACAGAAACATCCTTAAGCAGGAAAAAATTCAAGTAACTCCAGGATCAATAGTGATACAGTACTTTGATTAAATTAAACCCTTAAGGTATAAGTGCCTTTCCTGCCAAAAATGCTTTGTCAAATACATTGGGAATTAAGAATTTCGTGAGATTCAATGAAATAATAATTGTAAGATCTTGCCATTGAAGAGTTAACTCCTCACCAATTGTACATGTAACTTTCTTTCTTTGGCTAATGATTGAAGCGGAGCATATGATCTAAAAGTACCAGTGCCCTTCACTGTTCTACAAGCCATGTTTTTCTACTAGATAGCAATGTTGGGAATGGGATATTTGCTTGCAACACACTGTTGTCCCGATAAACTCGCGCTAAACGGTCCTAAATCACTCACTCACGATGTAAGGTTTTAAACATATATTCTTCACTCACAGCATCCCCGGTTTTTATTACAACACAACTCCTGATAATTTTTCAACGAAAGATAAAGCGATTCGTTTTATGTTTCCTTTGATTTGGCAGATTCGATGCCTATCTCTTTCCGGTCACTTAACAATCAAATTCTATATGCGATATGAGGTTTGATTACATATGTAAACACGCGATTTACGACACCCTCCCCCCATTTGCTTCGAGAGAGCAAATGTCCAGAACTTAATCAACAGATAGAAAATCAGTCGTTGAATTTAAGAGTCTCGAACTGCAGTCTGTTGACCAAGCAGCATCATAACATAACAAATATTAGAGTTTTAAAATCAATGTGCCATCTGGCATGAAATGCTCAAAAAATATAAAAGTTCACTCGTAATGTTCATAGTTCTTGGGGTTCTTAAATTTATGCATTGTTCAGTTCATTGTTCGTCCTCGTTCATATCCTGGATACGAACTCTGGCTGCTGCTGCGGCATCCCTTTGCGGCCTGTAGATTGGCGCCATTGGATTCAGCGGCTCCGGTGGGTTCTGCATCGGCATGTCACAACTCAGCTCTAGAGGGTACAGATGCTGTATTGGGCGCTCCAGGCGTGACTTTCCAGTTTTCAGCTTTGCCCCACGAATCACGCCATCACGGCCGGTGATTAGGTCTTCTACGACTCCCAACTTCCACTGTGCTCGATTCTTCTCTTCTGATTTGATGATGACGACTTCTCCCTTGGATGGATAGGTCGTGTCTCCCTTGTGCTTCAGCCGGTGTCTCTCTCTCAGTCCGCGGAGGTACTCTCTTGTCCAGCGTGACCATAGTGTATCCTTGCACTTCCTCAAATATTTAGCTCTCTTCCGCAGGTCGTGTTCCTGGACGTGATGAGGTTCTAACTCTGGAAGCATGTTCGGTTGACCATAAAGGAAGGTGCTCGGGGTCAGGATGGGTAGCTGAATGTCTTCCTCTAGGTAGCTCAACGGTCGGTTGTTGAGTGTCACCTCGACGTCAAGCAGGACGTCTTGTAGCTCGTCCCAGGTGAGCGTTCCGTTTCCCACTGTCTTGTAGAAAACTCGCTTCACGAGTCCCACCAGTCTCTCAAATTGTCCACCCCACCAGGGTGCTCTGGACAAGTTGAATTGCCACTTCACGTTTATCTTGGCAAGGAAGTCGTGTAGACGTTCATCCTTCATCACCTTGTTCAGCCATTTTGCTGCTCCCACAAATGTTTTCCCGTTGTCGGAGTATATCTTCTCCGGGCGACCTT